AAGACCCTATGACTTGATCTGGGTCCTGCTTCAAAAACACAGTTACTTGTTTGCTTCATTTGTGTTCCTACATGCAGATACCCTCAGGTGCCAAAGAGCTGCTGGGACAGCCTGCTTCTCCTCCCAGGCCCTGCTGAGAGGGGCAGTCTCCCAGCCCATCCCTCTGGAATTATCCCCGTATCACTCTGCTCAGGGCACTTGCTTCAGCTTGGGTTGAGTGAGGGCTTCCCCACGCCTGGGATTAGGTGCTGGCTGTCAGATGTGATGGGAATGCGGGGGAAGGCAAAACAGTTTTACATAGGCAGTGTGGCAGTGGGGAAACTTGGTGTCTGGTCTGTCCTGTGCCCCAGGTGTGATGAGTCACTGGTCTGCTGGAGAAGTTACTTTTCCAGAGGGAGGGCTGTGCAAGGCTAGTGGTAGGTGTAGCACCCAGAGAGGTCCTTTGCTGCTCAGAGACCAATCCCGACCACACCGTGTACCTCGCTGTTGTATCACTGGAGATTTTTATCAAGTGATTTCCATTTTGATGTTCCTCCAGGATAATAAATGGTGCTTCACTGTAGCAAAAGATTCCCCAGACCCAAAAGCCTGATATAGGCAAAACAGGGAAGAAAATCTACTCATCAGTGGGGTTCTTATGAGACTAAAGCAAAATGTTTCTTTCCTCAAGAGGATATTAGCTTTGGCAGCATTCTCTTCTTTCACTTATCCTGTAGACATACTCATCTGCTGCCATATTTGAAGTAATTTTTGTTCATTATAATCATACTATATTAGCTATCCTGTCTTGTAGTATTGCATTAATATTCATGGACCAAATTAAAACTGGAATGATCTAGAACATAGTTACTTGTTATTTGCCTAGAAGACAAGAGGCAGGAAGGTGTCCTTTCCTGATGGAAAAATAATTCCTCCCTCCACTAATCTCCACAGCCACTAAAACCTCCACACGTCCTAGGAAAAGGCTGTAATTGAGTACTATGATGTGAAAATACCTGAAGACCTGGATTCCACTTGTGGAAATGCCTTTTCCTGATTTTTTCCCCCAAGATCTCTGTTTGCACCATGCAAATGAGCTGACCACTTCAACCTAAATTTAGAGCATTAATCTTGCAGTTATTTTGATGGCAGCATCTGCACATGGAAGAGCTGCAGGGCCAGGTGGAACATAAGATGGGACAAGTGTAGCCACGAGTTTTTCATCCTATTGTGCATCACATTGGGACTAATAAAATAAAATAAGATCAGTTATTTTCCCCCAGCCAAACCCACACATGTTTAAACATCTTCAAAGCCTGCAGTGGAATAAATTACATACTGAAAAAGTCTCTCAGATCCGTGAGACACACCTTGTTCGAGAGAGACTATATAGCCGAAAATCAAGAAAAACAATGGAGTGCTGTGCCAGTTTCATGAAGGGATTTAACCTCTGCGTTTTCTTTACAAGCTCAGCCATGTCCCAGACAGATACATTCCATATTGTGCTCATTGTCTATCCAAAAATTTTTTGTCTCTGTCTTTGTAAAGGTTCAAGCATGTTATAAGCTTGAAATCTTTATTTGTTCCAAGTGCCAGAACACTGCAGAGCTATGGTTTGCATCTCTCAGTCCCTCATCACAAACTCTGTGCATTTCTAGTGAAGTGTCCTAAAGCACTAGATATTTTTTCCTAGAAAGTTCTATTTATTCAAGCTAAATACGCTTGAAAAGCAAAAGACTTCTGATAAAGTCTAGATGAGTGTCATATGGTTAAAGCAGAAGATCTGAACTCTTGGAGAAAATAACGGAGTGTATAAACTCTTCATATTCTCACTTTCCACAGAGCTCATAAACTTTGCAAAACACCAAAGATGCTCAGATGCTTTCACAGAAGATAACTGCACCATTGGAGTTACTGTACTGTCTTTCGGGAAAAAAAAATTAATAAAATTGTACAGCCCTCTTGTCTTCCCTGTGAGGTTTTAATTCTGCCAGTTTAAGCAACTATTCAGACACTCCAGACTCCACAGTGAAATATTCAACCTTCTTCCCTTCCATCTGACCGACCTCAGTGATGTTGGGTTTTTGTCTTCTGCCTGTGTCTATACATATGTTAAGCCAAAGAGCAGAGATTCAAGGGTAATTACAAACATTGCACATGGAGAATTTGATTTGAATTTGCACATTATATTGAACAACTGGCAAGAACATTACAATTATGTCTAATTATGATAGGATGAAGATGTCTGTAGTGGATTAAGGTAGCTACACTGTCCAAGTCATGTTGAAAATATTTGCTGGCAGCTGCTGGGGTACACATGCATATCACATATGTCAGTGAAACCATCCCCGCAGGAAGACCCAATTTCAGAACCTACCCAGCCTGTGGCATATTAGTCAGGGAAGCTGAGAGTAAAGCCCAGAGGAAATGAGATGGGAACTGTGGAACAGAGAGGGGAAAGAGAAAATTCATCTCAGGAAATATGTAAAACACTTCTGTCCTTTCTGTTTACATCACATCCTTTGTCTCTCTGCTCAGGAAGGCGTCTAATTACACTCTGTTTATCTAGCACTGTGTTTAGCTTGGCACAAGACAAAGTTAAACATCCCGCAGAACACGATGCTGAATGCTTGTTTTCTATGACCTTTCTGGAGCACTGTGGATATATGTAATCTCAGAATTATCAAAACCCTATGTCTCAGCACTGAGGCAGGTAGAATCAGGCTCAGCAAGACCTGGATGCTCACAAGTAAGATGCTGTCTCATGGACTGGTCTTTTGAGTGGAATCCAATTACCTGTGTGAGGAAAGGCAGAAGTCCCAGAAGAAAAATTCAGACCCCACACCAACTGAGCAAGAACAGAATGATAGGAAAAATGGAGGACAGGATTGGATCTGAACACATCCCACCTCTGGAGAGAAGATGCCTGAAGGAAGAGGCTGGAAAGAATCAGGACACTGGCATGAGTTTGCATCCTTAATGGTCAGATCTACAGCTATCTTGGGGGTCAGGGGTAACCCACCTCTACAATGGCCGAGATCTACATTGTAATGGCATAATCTTGCAGAGGCAGACAGCTGGCAGCATAATCCACTGTCACTTGGTCTATGCACACATTTTTTACATACAGGCTTTACATATTCTTCCATTGGCTAAATGGCTCCATTGTCTCAGACATATCTTCCTTTTCCACCAAGAAATTTTGTTCAGGAGGATTTTGAGGATTTGCTTAGGTTTTCTGGGTATTTGGTAAGCTTGAAGAGGTCAAATGATAGATGCATGCCCACTGAGAGCATAATGCAGCCATGCAGCAAATGAACAGCACTTCTAACGCTTTCAGAAGTATCATCAGACACTCCAATGTATGTGCTGAAGAATATTCTGCATGCGTGTACCAAGTCAAACGTTTCTCTGTTAGAAGTGCTGGACTTATTATGGATGTGATTCAGGGTAACCCCGGACATTGCAGGATAGTCCACATAGAGGATGATCTCCCTGGTTTGTCTGTAGATGCTGTCCAGTGGGAAACTGTGCATACAACTGCAGAATTTAAGCATGTAAAAGTGAGGCAGGATAAGGAAGGAAGTGAAATGCCAAACAACGATGCAAGGACTTGGAAGCAAGGTGAAACTTCTCTTATATTATCAAGACAAGGCCAAGCAGTATTTTCTGTCCAGTTAAGGCTGGCATTCATGACATAGATAGGTCCTAACCCGGAGATCAGGAGGAGGGCTCACTTTCCATGGAAACTGAGGGCTAAAAAGCCCTTTGGTAAGCATTATGGTGTCTCTCTTGCTCTCCAGTGCCATGTGCCAGAGGCCAATTTGCTGGCTTGGTCTATGTCCAGCCACACAGCTGATGCAGGATCTCTGAGAGCAGGATTGGGTGTGATGCTTAATGGAGCTGGTCTTGTCCTGAAGCCCCATGCTCACAAAGGCCTGCTCCAATTAAGTTATTATGGTTGAATTTTGTGCATAGAAGGTAGAGTTTGACCATATATGACAAACTTTCAGGAACAATTTTAAAAAGCTGTAATAAATGATCCCTAAGATTGTTTCTGCAAGTGTCTTTACACTCATTTTCAACAAGAACAGCTGGGATTCTTAGTCTTAGAGAAAAAGTTTTCCTCGTAATTTGAATTAGCATAAATTGTAAGAATGCTTGGACTTTCCTCCTGGCTCAGACTAACAACACATCACTCACAATAACTTCTTTCAGAACATAGTCAATAGTAGATATATAGGGGAAAAAAAAAATTAAAAAAAACCCAAACAAAAACCCCAACAAAACCCAATGCACTTCTAGAGTGATCCTTCTCTTGGCCTGTTCTCCCAGATTCAACTGTTTACATCTTTTCAAGCTGAAGGTTGCACCTGAGTCAACATGTTTAATAGCATAATCAACAAAAACTCAGTACAAGCAAGAAATCCTTTCATCTTTTAAAGCTTTCTTTCATAATCACAAGGAGACTCTTTCACACGACCCACCTACCAGAGCAGTTTCAGGGCAGCATTCTGCAGCCTGACACTCCCTGGGAATATCTTCCTACCATCTTACATTTTTACCTACCCATTTCTTGCTGGCACTTAGGACTGGTTATCACACTAATGCCAGGCTTACCCATGAAAGTTGCTGTTTGGACATTTGATCAACAATAGCTGTTAAGCTTTGGAAAACAGTGATCAGTGAGAAGAACTTACTAACAACTTCTAAGAAACAATGAAAATCTTACATGCTATAATATTTTCTGCACTGATACATTACTATGTGTCGGTTTTTGTACCGTGTAACTCGCCATCTAAAGCAACCAGGTTTCTTTCTGCAAGGGGTAAGGGCATTTTTCTTCTTCACCCTGTTAGTCAAAAGTCTTGATGTATTTCAGTGACAGCCCTGTTGCGCATAACTTCGTATATAAATGCCAGATATTAGGCAATACAGTCAGGAGAGCTGAGGGAAGATGAGCTTGGACATGTGTCCCACTGCTTCAGAGACTGCTCCCCACCACCCTTGCAGGTGCTTACCGTAACCCATGAGGGACTCGCAGTTCCATTCCCCACCCTGCTCAGGCCTACTGCAGGTCTCCCATAACGATGCTCGTTGCACGTAGGGTAAGGTCTGCGCCCCCAGCCAGCCCCTGCCCGCCAGCGCAATGATACCAAAGATGACGCCTATGCCCAGGAGCAGGGGTAGGATCCATCTGCACCGCGTGTAGTCAAGGCCGTACTTCACCATCTTCCGGGGCAGAGAGAGGCTCGTGGGATGAGGATGGCCGTCTCTGCCACGGACTCGGTGACGCGAAGCAACGGGTGCTTCTGCAAAGCCGCAGGAAAATGAGTGCTGGTACCTGTGAGCGTGTGTGCAGATGCTTGAGAAAAGCTTTTTAATCAGGAGAGACACAG